GCTCCTCCCAGTCTGTAGGGCTGCCTGGGATTCCTCCAGCCCAAGTGCAAAACCTCACATGTTGCTTGAACTTCCTAAGCACTCGAATTACAAACCTGAAGCGTGAATCCTTCTTGACAAGATTTTTGGTAGAGTTTGCTTGGCCAGCACGTGGTGCTTTCAGAAAAAAACCACAAAGCCCACGAGTAAGGATGAGGAAACCCCCACGTGCAGCCAGCAGCTGTTTGCTCCTGAGGAAGGCTGAGCTGTGTTACCTTGGGAGGGCTGAGCAGCAGCTGGTGGAAATCTTTTAGCCTCGGTTCAATGCCATGTAAGATGCTGCTATTGACAGTGTAAGACCTTTCAAATCCCTGAGTGTATGAGTCCATCAGTCCTTCCACCCTGTAACAAAGAAAACACAGTCAGGGTTTGAGCAACCCTTACAAAGGTCTCCACTCACACTGCCCACGTTGGTTATTTTCTCTTGAAAACTCACTCTGAATGTGAAGAGAAACTGACAGCCACCGAAGGTAAGTGCATAATCACAGTATTAAGTTATTTGCAAGATGATGTTCACATAATCAAAATTGTGAATGAGATGAGTGGGAAGGCAGAGGAGAAGCTGTCTGCAGGGCTGACAAAGACAAACTGCCGCAGTGCTCTCAGGGCTCTCAAACTTCATAGATATTCAAAGAATAAATTGTGCCAGGGAGTGTTTATAAACATGTGTTAAAAATGGTAACAAGCTCTCCAGAAGTGCACTGAAGGATACTAACCAAGCAGCCGGGCTCCCATCTCTGCTGCTCAGCAGCACACTGTGACTACCAGCAGTTCCTTCCAACCTCAACTGGAGGTCCTTCAACCTCAACTCCTCAACTTCCAGCCTCATGTCGGAATAAGAGAAATGCTTTCATTGCAGTGAGGCACCAACAGCCTCCGTGACACCCCTACGTCTGGAACTCAGGAACCCTCAGAGATGCAGGGCACAAGGCACACAGGATGCAGCATCTCAGCTTTTCAGCCTTAACCAAGGGTGGTGAGGCACTGCAACAGGCTGCCCAAGGAGGCTGTGGGTGCCCCAGCCCTGCAGGCACTCAAGGCCAGGCTGGATGTGGCTCTGGGCAGCCTGGGCTGCTGGTTGGTGACCCTGCACACAGCAGGGGATTGAAACTAGATGAGCATCGTGGTCCTTCTTGCTTTTCAACCCAGGCCATTCTATGATTCTATGAACTGCCTAACAACTTGTCAGCCCGACGCCATCTCCTGTCTGTTTCTCCCCCTGTTCACTCTTCCTGATCTTCCATCACCTCCTTCACTCCTCCTTATTTCCTCCTTTTTAAAGTGAGATTCTCAGCGTCTCCCTTCCTCCCCAGACCTCTCCTTTGCTACATCCTTCATTCAAACTAGATTTGAATGGCTAACATTGTTCTGCTCAGGACTGAAGCTGACTTACCCAGAGCGCCTGGTTTCCAGCAATGTCAGCAGAACCTGCGTTCCATTCACTATGCAATTCTCAGTCTGCTCTCCATCAAACATATTCTTCAGGAGTTGCTCCACACATTCCTGCCTGTTGGTCAGCACAGATTTACACTGTTAGTAACATTCAGCAGCTGCTTTAATCACAAAAATACCCACTTCTGAGTTTTCTTGAGCTGAAGTTTGCACTCAGTAAAGACAGAAATGGCTTTACACGAGGTTTAGGAACTTGCTTCCTCATCACTAAGGCAAGAGCTCCTTATAGACATTGAGACTCCAACCCGAAACCCGGTATCAACAAGGCAAAACTCTTGTTACACACTGGAAGACAACCCAAGTATTAACTTAGTTTGTTTAATTTATGAAAGACAACATGAGGCTATGAGCTCACAGTCCAAAATTATCCACCAGAATCCCAGGAGAAAGGCAAAATGCACTGGAAGCTGACCTGTGTCATCTGCCATTGGCACAGTGGGATCCAGGACCCAGCAGAAGCAAACTGTAAAGAATTTGCTTCTTTTTGTCAGTCTTAGCTTCCGCTCCCTCCAAATATTCAAAGCCATTCACCATTTCTTTGAGCCTTTAAAGCAGGGTAAGATGCCTACCAAAACCTGAGAGTGTCAAGGGAAGGTGGGGGAACCCCCAAGCATAATACTGGCAAATGCTGGAGTCACAAGGAATGACAACAGTGGACTTTTCTGGCATTTAAACACCATTTTGACACTCAAAGACCACCCTGAATTACAAACACGGGGTAACAGCCCACTTTCCTCTCTGCTACCTGCTGCATTCTCTAAGTTACAGACAGGAGGAGCAGGAGGGGTGTGTGACTCTGGCCACGGCTCCCGGTGGCCTTAAGTGATGGTTAATTTACCATTCACAGATGAAAAAGGTCACTGGTAATGGTTGGAAAAACTCCCTGGGAGAAGGCATGAGCCACGTGACAGCTGGGGATCAACAGCAGAGCAGCGTGGTGCAGAAAAGTCACTTCTGCTCAGAATGTTTTTCCTCTGAAATAACGAAGCGGCGTAACGACTTTCAGCAAAGCTCTTTGAAAGAGCAAAACCATTTCTCTTCATCTCGTGGAAAGGCAGGTGGTGAATGAAAATGCGACAGCAACAAAGAAAACCACAGGAGAGGGTGATTGGGAGAGAGAAGGAGGGAGGTGAAGCAGCTGCTGAAGATGCTCTGAGTGCAGTGTGACCCAAAGCTCCACCTGTAGCAACCCCTGTGCAGCCCAGGACCTCAGATGGAGTTCTACCCCAGAAGCTCTCACCATGAGCAGCAGTGTCCTGCCCCAAGCACAGCTCTGTGTCCCTCTGCTGAGCTACTGAGAGAGGAGGAGGTTCACACGAGAAAGGAGAAGACCCAGAGTGAGTGCACCATGGCACACGGTGCAGGCTGTCTGTAAGCAACCCAGCAGAGAAAGGCTCAGCCCACAGCTGAAGGGCTCTGGAGCCATTCAGTCCTGATGAGGTTCAGGCCCTGATCTGAGGTTCAGGCCCTGATGAGGTTCAGTTCTGATGAGGTTCAGGCCCTGATGACGTTCAGTTCTGATGAGGTTCAGGCCCTGATGACGTTCAGTTCTGATGAGGTTCAGGCCCTGATGAGGTTCAGGCCCTGATGAGGTTCAGTTCTGATGAGGTTCAGGCCCTGACGAGGGTTTCCAGGCCTTGAGATATGCAACTGTGGTGATGGATGGATCTCAATCCAATGGTCACAAGTGATGCTCCCCAGGCATTTGTACTAGCCCTGTTTAGTCTCTTCACTGATGATCTGGATGAGGGGGTTGAGATGAGCCAGCTCGTGCCATGGGTGCAGTGGGGGTGGGCTGGGGTCGAACTTGATGATCTCAGAGCTCTTTTCCAACCTTAATGGCTCCATGATTCTATGATTCCATCTACACCAACAATCCCACACTGTGCTACCCGACAACAAACCACCACTCTGGGACAAAAGATCAGGCCTGCCTCGTTTCTGCAGGCACAATCAAGGAAATGAAGCATTTAAGAGCAGCTCCTTACAGAGTCAGGCTTGTATTTCAAGCCTGTGGAAGGTCCAGCACGTCTTTCAGCTGTCAGTGATTGCATGCAGCACATGAGCTGTCTGCACCTCACACACCACCTCAGCCCTCTGTGCACAGAACTGAGCTCCAGATCAGGAGAAGCAGACAGCAGCATCACAGAAATGAGCAAAGCTCTGGGCCAACAAGACTCACAAAGCAGAGTTTTTAAGCCCCACTTACAGGTACTGTCTTATTTCCTTCAAGTCTGTTTCACCTTGTTCCCATAACAAACCTTTAAGTCTAAAGAAACCTTGTTTGAAGTCACGTTTATGTTTGTCCTTACAACAGCCCACAACCACCAGTTTCCAAATGATGGAACTCACTGGATTCCTGTGATCACTGACCTTCATGTAATTTACACGAAATGTGCCAGAAAAGCTCCCAAACCAAAATGACTCTTCTGCTTTTTCCTGTCCAAAAAGGCCTCGAAAGGGATGACAGCTCTGTTCACAAACCCTGCCTGCCAAGCAGAAGCCAGGAAACGACAAAGCCAGTTCTGCACCTTCGTGTCAAAGTCGCACGTGGCACCAATGAAGAAACGTGGCAACGCTAAGAGCTGCCCAGGTGGCTTTTCCCTCAGCTCCCACCACCACCCCTCAGCTCTCCCCACATTCGCTGCGAGACCTCAGCACGCTGACACCGACTGCTTCCGTCTCCAGCTGTGTGCTTCACAGATCAGCAACCCCAACCCTGTGCTACAATCCCAGACATCTCAGCAGAGGTGGCCAAGTGACACCCCAGCTTCGAAGCCACGTTTCATGCTTGGGATAAATGTCAGCAGTTCAGCAAGGGCTTCATGGCGACCTCCCACAGCCGACAGGAAATGACAGCAGCTGGTTTAGCAACGATCCCCTGAGCGCTACTTACGATTCCAGTGCGGTGAGAAGTGGATCAGGCTCAGGTATGTCCTGCAGCTGATTGCTCTGGTCTCTGCTCAATCTTATGATATCACACAGGGTCTGGGAAGCGTTTGATTGCCTCTGTCAATGACACGGAGCACACGGCGGCGTTAGCTTCTCAATTTGTCTCATTCTGGCCGTCAGAGAAACTAATGTGACTGTATGAGTGCTACCACGCTCTGAATTATTCATCTGCTACACGTTAACATTGAATTATTAGAAGCTTTAAGAGATTTCAAAACCTAAGAGAGGATCTTCCTGAGCAGAACAGTGAAGTTCAGTCAGAGATGCCATAAAGTGAGGACTGCATTTCATAAGGTGACGACTGTATTTCAACTTCCTGACCAAGTGCATTAACTTGTGACTTTCAAACACAGCATTTCACCCTTCCTTCTCACTGCCTCCTGCACAAAGAAAACTAAATGATTTCATAAAGCCCTTTACTTTGCAGGACCCACTGCCCACAGACACAAAACACCAGTTCTTGCCATACTCACATCCTCATCCTGGCTTGAATGGATCAGCTCCACAAGTCTCTGAATAATTCTTGCTTCGTTAAGCCACTGGAGGGAAAGGAAGGGAAAAGAAAATCGTTGTATTGCAGCATTCAAAACAAGAGGATCCTTGAGAAGCTTGGCATAACACAGAGTCCTCTCCTTCTATTTCAGAATCAAAGGCATGGAACAATACCTATAGGCACAGGTCACAGAAACCACACAATCACAGGCTGGTCTGGCTTGGAAGGGACTTTAAAAACCATCTGGTTCCAAACCCCCTGTCAGACCGAGATGTCTTTTAGTTACCATCAGAATCCACACCCTGCCAGTGTGGGTTCTAAACTAAAAACTTAAACACCTTTGGAAAATATGATCAGTCACGAAACAGATCAGCCACAAACTCTATCTCATCTGAAGCAGCACAAGCATAACTATCAGCATGCTCTTCTGCTGCCACTTCCTACCCTTACAGCCACTGTTGTTTACACCAAACAGCTCCAACTCTGCCCATGCTGTTATTACAGCTCATCTCCCTGCCCCATCCCACACCACAGACTTCCTCCTATTAACTCAAGCTATCACTTCACCCCAATTCCCCGACCACACGCAAACAAAGCACAACCACCTGCAAGGAACACCTTCCAGTTTCCCTCTTCCCAGTTCCACCTCCAAGCTCAGCTCCTCAGTCCATCTTCAGCCCAGTTCCTAATGGCCTTCACCCCAGGCAAATGGCCGAGTGTGTAACATCACTCACACCAATCACTCACATCCTCCATAATGCACTCTTACTTGCTTTGGAAATGACTGACCAAACCATAATTAGAAGGAAAATAACTCTGGAGGTTTCTGCAGTGATGTTATCTTCCATCAGCTTTCAGATGAGTCACGGAGGAAACCAACAGCTTCCCACCTTCACAAGAAAGCTCTGTGCATCTCCCCTTCAACAGTGTTTTTTATTACCTGGTCACATAGCTTCAACCATCACAGAACTACAGAACAACTTCAGCTGGAAAAAGCCCTCGAGATGAAATCCAGCCAACAAAAGCTCATCCAGTGGAGCTGATCCCTGCCATGCCTCCATGTGTTGCCTCCCCATCTCCATTGCACTGCCAAGGCACCTGTCCATTCCCCATGTACTCACTTGGCCTACAAGCATCCCTTCTCATCTCCACGTGCTTGGATACGCCGAAATCCTTCTTCCAAACCCTAAGCCTCAATCTCCCCATGACAGCTAAGGCAGCTCTCAACTGGCAATTCACCGAAAGGGCAGCGAGGTTCACAGCATCACAGAACTGTAGGGGTTGGAAGGGACCTGCAGAGCTCATGGAGTCCAACCCCCTGCCCAAGCAGTTCCTATAGCAGGTCGCACAGGTTGGCATCCAGGCAGGTCTTGAACATCTCCAGAGAAGGAGACTCCACCACCTCCCTGCACAGCCTGTTCCAGTGCTCCGTCACCTCACTGTAAAGAAGTTCTTGTGCACATTGGTGCAGAACTTCCTATGCTGCAGCTTGTGGCCGTTTCCCCTCATCCTGTCTCCATTCACCACTGAAAAGAGCCCAGCCTCGCCATTCTGCCCCCCACACCTCAGATATTTATAGACCTGGATCAGGTCCCCTCTCAGCCTTCTTTTCTCAAGGCTGAACAGACCCAGTTCACTCAGCCTTTCCTCATAGCAGAGATGCTCCAGGCCCCTCACCACCTTGGTGGCCCTCTGCTGGACTCTTCCCAAGAGATCCCTGTCTGTTTTGTACTGGGCAGCCCAGAACTGCACGCAGTGCTCCAGGTGAGGCCTCACCAGGGCAGAGCAGAGGGGGAGGATCGCCTCCCTCGACCTGCTGGCCACGCTCTGTGCAATGCACCCAGGATGCCATTGGCCCTCTTGGCCACAAGGGCACACTGCTGGCTCATGGCAACCTGTCGTCCACCAGGACACCCAGGTCCCTCTGTGCAGAGCTCCCCTCCAGCAGCTCATCCCCCATCCTGTACCGCTGCGTGCCATTATTCCTCCCCAGATGCAAGACTCCACACTTGCTTTTGTTGAACCCCATCCGGTTTGAGATGTGTCCCCTGGTGACATCAAACCTGGTGATCCGGTTTGAACCTCATCTGGTTTCTTGCTGCCCAGCTCTCAGCCTGTCCAGCTCTCGCTGAATGGCAGCACAGCCTTCAGCCAATCCTCCCAGCTTCATATCGTCAGCAAACTCGCTGAGGGTGGCCACCATCCCCTCATCAAGGTCACTGATGAAGATGTTGAACAAGGACCCAGCACCGACCCCTGGGGGGCAACACTGCTCACAGGCCTCCAACCAGACTCTGCACCGCCAACGACGACCCTCTGCGCTCTGCCACTCAGCCAGTTCTCAACCCACCTCACTGCCCACTCGTCCATCCCACAGCTTTGTTATAAGGATGGCGTGGGAACTGAGGTTAATGAGAATCTCCTCATTTCTAACTTAAAACAACCAGAAAAGAAAAAAAAAGCACAATAAAACCTGCCCAGCAATGCCTCCAGCAGCCCCTCTAACAATGAGACTGCTCACCCCTGTGCTAGGGCTGCATGCTTCGTTTTCATCACCACTTACACAGCCCAGATTCTGACTGCAATCCCTCTGTATTCCCACAACAGGAACACACCGTGTGACTTTGAGAATGAAAACTTACATTCCTTTTTCCTGCAGGTTTCCTTTCTTCATGCATTGGCTTCTGTAGATGTGGCATAGTGGTATTTCAGCCTATTCTTACTGCATGCAGAATCCCTGCCACACCAATCTCTGCTATCACAGGAACTTTTACCCCCTTACGAGTTCCAAAGTCCAGGGGTTGGCTGTAATGGGGGGCAGGCAGGGATGGGGGGCCTGGAGGCACTGCTAGAAACTGCAAGGACTCCCAGATCAGGGCAGCCAGAGTGGTGATGTGCAGGATGTGCAAAAGTGCTGAGAAGACAATGTTATGAATTTCAGCAGGATTTTTTTTTTGGAAAAGCTCAGTGCTCCCTGGATCATCATTTTGCATGGAAGAAAGGAGAGTCAGGCACTGCACAGGAGTCAGATGGAGGTTCCCATCCTGGAAGCTGGCATCGGAGGAGAGAACTCTTCCACCTCCATGGTGATATTATCACTAAAAATCAACCCTGGGGAGCAGTTCTGCTAAAGCTCTTCATTGAAGATTTAGAAAAAGACCTTAGCAAGTTCAGGAACTTACAATTGTAGAATCACAGAAGAGACCTTTGAGATCACGTCGTTCCGACTCCTTGCTATGGGAAGGGACACCTTCCACCAAACCAGGCTGCTCAAAGCACCACAGCATCAACTTGGGGGGCAGGAGCAGACATGCAGGAGGGGAGAGCCATCACCCAGAATGACCCAAACCAAGTGGAGAAGGTGGAGGAAACCTCAGCAAGATCAACAGAGGTAAAAAGCATCGAGGATGGAATAACCCCAACAGCAGGAGCGAGGGTCAGGAATCGCCTGGGCTGCTGTGGGAGGTGCCAGGATGGGACAAGAGCCCCAAGATGTCCAAGGGAAATTCCAACTTGATGCCAGGGAAAGAAATCTCCACAAAATGCAGTGAAACAGTGGATGAATGCCTGGATATGTCTCTCCTCTCAGAGATATTGGAGACTCAGATGGACAAGGCCACGAGCAATCAGCTCAGAGGTGGAAGCCGACCTCTGCAGGGAGCATCCAACCCATCCAATCAGCCAATGCTGAGAAGAGTCCATTGGATCAGGACTTCAACAACGCTCCTTCTTCTGAAACCTGCTGAAAATACACCTGGTAACAGCATGACTTTGGCTTGGCTATTCCTCACGAATCACAGCACCAACAACAGCACACAGCAGCATTTGTTGTGTGCTACCATGGCTGCCCGCATCAATCCCCGATGGAAAGGCTGCACGATGCTCCAGGTGCAAGAGGTGAGAAGATGGGTACAAAACCATGCAAGTCCCTCAGCTGGGAGAGCTGCAGTGCCTGGCTGCTCCTCAGCACTGCCCAGAGAGAAGGAACCCATGGGGGACCAGCAGATTTCTCCTCACATCCCACCTACTACCACGGAAACCCCAGCTGTGAGCACCAGGTGGAGTTTGTCCTTCAGACCCCAGCTGGGGAAGACAGACCAATTCTCCTCTGTGAAGGTTATAAAGCTGTACTTTATACTTCAGCAAGGATGAGGATGTGAAGGGTGTGAGAGACCTGGAATTACTGGATCTGCTTCACATCAATTCCAAACATATGCCACCAGTATCAGATGTGGAAGCCTCTGCTAGGGACCAGCTCTGCTTGCATTTTTCCAGGTAAGACTTAAGATGGAGGACAGACTCCTCTGATGTCACTTATCTGTCCCAGTATTTAAAATGCTTCAGGAAGCAACTTGTCTTTAAGTCTTCCTCCTACCTCAAAAGCAAATTATTTCTTTCTTTGACAAATCTGGAGACATTCCAGGATCAAATGATGGTGATCAAAGAAAATCTGCACCCGTGTGCACAATGCAGGCTTCGTCTGAGGATACTGGCAGGGAAGTGCCTGAAAGACCAGCCACTGGAAGGACCTCTTCAGAGGTTTCTGACAAAGACTCCTCCAAATATTTCCAGCTGTGAAGGACCTGGGGAGCAGACAGGGTCTGTGAAGATGCCATGCAGACAACAGATCACTTACATTGCACTTACCCTGAACCTGGAGGCTCCCTCACACAGTGCTGCTCCTCAAACTCAGAAGTATGCAGGAACAGCACATCCTAGCAAGGCTTCCTCCTGCTGGCACAGCTCTCCCAAACAACAAAACCTGATCTGTGCCAACCAAGCACTTTTCTATCAGGTGGGGAACAGCAGGAAGCTGATAGAGAATTGTCATTTTGCCATGTAGGCTGCATGCCCTCAGATACAGATGAGGGAAGAGAAAGGGAATCATCACCCCAGATGCCCTAAGAAGGTATGAGGTGGCACTGCCAACCTTCTCCCTGCTGCTCATCCACTTCTGCTCCCTTGCAACTCCCTTACTACGGTATGAGGCTGTGCAAAAATGAAAACCAAGAACACAAAGCAACCAACCAAGGAAGAGATCTGGCTGCAAACAATCCCAAAAGGCAAAGAACACAAGTAAG